GGGTAGTAAAGCATCGCAGCGCTCCTGCAAGGGGTCATCATCACCCGAGAGCAGACAGATCTGAGTCAATGTTTCGATCCTACAGGTAGGGAAACTGAGGCACGCTCTGCAGGCAGTGGGCTGAGGCTTCACATCGTCCCAGCCCCTCCGAGGCACCTGGGGTTATGCAGCAAAAGGAGAAGGTGCCATGGAAATGTCATTCCAATTTTGTCCTGCTTTCCAGACATGCTTCAGATAGTTTCCCTTTTCTCTTGGACAAAACATTGAGCAAGGGTGGAATTAGGAAGGAAAAAAATAAGAGCAAGAGACTCCTGACGCGCTCCAGTCCAGCACCATCCTGCTGGATGCCACCTCCCGAAAGCTGCCAAATTCAGATAAGAATTTAGCATAACGCACCCAAAATGCTTGGGAAAGCGGCTCCTCTCACCGGCATTACAGCAGGTGGTTTCTTCCCGTGGAAGCCAGCTCTGTGTGAACCGTGGCATCCCCTGACCGGGAGGGGACAAAGAAGGCTTTTGATTTTCAGTGCTGCTGTTTTGCCTTTTTAAAATGCTGATCCTTGGGGATTTGGGGACAATGTGTGGATGTGCCACCCCCTGGGCTTGAGACCTTGCAGTGCTGGAGGACTTTGCAGCCCGAAGCAGCTATCTCAGGGCACGGAGGGGGCAAATGTGCCGGTAGGGTGGTGACGGAGGGGTGGTGGGTGCAATGCTGCGCTCTTGGAGTGCAACCTGGAGCATCCCGGGCACCGGAACATCTCAGCCATCAGCGGCCTGTAAGGATATTTTTGGGGGGTTTCTCAGTCCTGGAAAAGTAGCAGAGATGCTGGGATGACAGCCAAGATGGGGACACAGGGACCAGAAGAGGTTTGAGGACCCCCAGGTCAGCCTACAGAGCCCACGAGCACCTGCAGGCAGAGAGGCTGAAGGCAACAACCGTCATCACCTCAGCCTTCAACTGGGGGCACTGGGCTGCGATGGGGGCCGTGGCTGAGCCTGCAGGAACCCATGGGGACTCGGTGGCAGCTGGAGTCAACCACCCCGCAGAGGCAGGAGGTGGAGGAAATAATGCCTTTAATTTTTTTTAATATAAACTTCTGCACCTTCTGTAAACAGTGTCAGCAACCCCTTGTACACGCTAAATGCTGCTTTAAAGCTTGTCTTGCTCAAGGCTGCCTTCCCTGCCTGCCTTACGGCAGAGGAAGAAAGCCTCAGCCCAGATGTGCGGAGGGAGCGCGGCGGTGGACTTGCTTTGCTCAGCAGCTCAGCGCGTTTGAGGACAGCTATCACCTCCCCACCGCATCCACCCCACGGGAGCATCACCAGGTCCCCCAGAGCGGGACGCATGGGGACACAGCCCCGAACAAGCCACTTCTGGTCCTGCTGCCAGCACCGGGACCCTCCTTCGGGAAGGCACTGGAGTATTCGATGCCCAAGGAAGAGCCAGAGCCCAGAGCTGGGGCAGGGGTTTAATTTTTCACCTTCCTGATGGTTGCAGCTGATGAAATCTCCTCCTCAGGAAGTCGCTTACCCCTCCCACCCCTGTTGCTCCTACCACATCCTTTCTGAGCGGGTGCTCAGCACGAGCTGTAGCTGCATCACGTGCGTGTGGTAGTGCAACCGGGTTCCTGGTTTTGTTTCTAACTTCACGTGAGCAGCCAGAGATGCGGCAACCTTAAGCCAGCTGAAAAAAAAAAAAAAAAGGACTCAGCGGGCTGAAAAACCAGCTTGTTCTGGGGATGGGGGTAACGCCGCTGCTGGGGTCGCTCCATCACTGCAGCCCTCGCTTAGATCTGGGTGCATTTAGGGGTAAACCAAAGTGCGGGAGGGTGCAGAACCAAATCGTAGCAAGTGCTTAAGCACCAGCTTCACGTCAAGCATGAGAAGAGGCTCAGGTGTTTACCGGGGTTACTCGTGTTCAGGAGAAATCCAGCCGGATCGCTGCCTCGGAGCAAGGTTTGTGGAGGGAGCGGGAGCCTGAAGCGCAGTTTAGCAGCCCTGGGCTTTGCAGAGGACCCTGTCTCTGATAGTTGACCAAATTGTTACTGAAATCCAGCAATTAAAATTCTTACCGAAATTCTAGTGTTTCCAAATAGGTGCTCTAGGTGCATCTTTAAATACTTAATTGATTTTCTTAGGAGCTGCGTCCATATGGATAAGCCAAAGGCTCCTCTGGATACAGAAGCAGAGACTTGAGCAAACAGGCACTGATGTCAGGCTACCCAACCCTCAAATGTCTTTTTTTTTTTTTTTTTTTAAATCAAAACTAGTTTTTTCCACCCCTTGCTAATTTGCTTGCAACAATCAATCACCTGCTTTGAAAAGGACAGGAAAAAAAAGCAGGGAGCTCACAATTAATTATATCAAACCTAATGCAAGCCCTATTCACACACAGAAATCTCCCCTCCGTGCTTTCAGCATCGCCCGAGGCGCTCGCACACACATCCTCGAAGGATTTATGTCTTTCCCGTTGCAGGAAATGTCCCTTCCTGCACAGAATGAAAATTGAACACCTCGGCCAAACGTTCTCCATGTACCTCCATCTCCAAAGGCCTGTCTGCAGGTATTTAGGGAAGAATTGTTCCTCCCAGAGGCCTCACCGAACCCGCACTACTTCCTTAGGAGCAGCCTTGGCAGCCAGACAGCAAAGCCGGAGGCAGTTCTTAAAGCTTAGCCTAGACTTTATCATTTGCAGATTTTCTTAAAGGCATTTTTCAGCTAATTATCCTCCATTAGTAAACATCTTGTCTAGCCTGGTTTGCTTCTGTGCTAAGATTAAGCAGTAAAAGGGTTTTGAAATGTTATGGTGAGAGCCTAAGATATTCAAGCCCTAAATATATACAGCTGAAAAAGGCTTTTCCCTCTAAAGAAATTAAATACCACTTCTGCAGAGCTTTCTCATGCTGCTGCAGTAATAGGATATTTGATAAAGTCCGAGCCACTCACCAAGCCCTGACCCCTCTTAAACTCTACAGAAATATTTTGTCTTGAAAGCAACTCTTCTGATCTGTTGCCCTTTGGTCTTTTTAATACGGCAGTACAAGTTTCAAATGATCAAATTATACGGAATTACTTGCGCCTATGAAGTTAACATCTAGCTGTGAGGACCGCTGTCGTAAGTATTGTTAGCAATTGGAAATTTGCTAAAGGAAAGTTTTTGATAAAGCCATAACTAACCTTTCTTTTTTTTTTTTTTCTTTCCAGACAAAGTAAGAACTCACAAAAATATGTTTTGCCTTTTATTTTTCGGAACATTGCTGGCAGGCAGAGCAGGGTGCTGGGGACATCAGTTCTTCATTCAAAGCCACCTGTGCAACAGAAGAGCTTGTAGAAAGTTCAGTTTGAGCAATTTGCTAATGGCCCAAGTCTAAAAATCAGGTTATTATTCAGGAACATCTACAAAACCCTGCCAGAAGCTGCCTGCCTTCCTCCCCACGTCCACGGGGATGCTGGGGACACACCAGCAGAGCAGCCCCCATCACTCCCAGTGTTACCAAGCCCAGAGCTCCTCAGAAACCCATCCTGTACTTTTTTCCTTTTATAGAGGTTCCCCCAAGCATTGGGAGGAAAAACTCCTGGAAAATACGCTGAGAAGAGACAAGCTGAGACTCCAGCCTCAACTCCAAATTGCTCTGGGTGTAACTGGGGAAGCTGGGCTGGGAAAGCGTGCGCCAGGGAATTTCAGTTTGATGGCAGACCCGCCTGGACGTTGCAAATTCAGAGCAGTCGGGGTTTCTGCGCAGCAGCTCCCTCCCAGGAAAGGGCCATACACGGTCTGCGCCTTCAATCCATGACTGGAAATCCCCAAGCTACAATTCCCTCCGCATTTTGGGGAGGACATACGCGTTAAGACATACACTGCACAGCGCCCAGAGCAAAGGCTGGTTCACGCTATCGAAGCCTGCGATGTCCTCATCCCGCCTGGGTCAGACTAACACCTTCCTATTTAGAAAGCTGTGGTTCATGACTGAAATCCCAACCTCACAATCAGGAATTGTGAAATCAAAGAAGAACCAGAAGTAAACAGCTGGGACGGCTTCACATTCTCCTGCTGAGCGTGCTGGTCTAGAAAAACATCTGTAGAAGCATCGGGCATCTTTCCCTTTCATTTCCCACCGGTACGGTAAGAAAGGCCAACAGTGTGAGAGAGGAAACAAATGAACTGACGATCTACAGAATAAAGCAAAGAGCAGAAAAGCACGCTTTCCGTGCCAGCCACGCTTACCTCCAGCTTAAGATGTTGTGGGACAAACAATGATTTCAGTTGATTTGAGTCAAGCGAGTTAAGTGGGTGAAAAATGTTCTTCCTTGCGTTAGGGAAGCTGAAGCTCACTACGTGTCATTTATACAGACAGTGAGAACGGACGTGTCACCCGTTCATTACCGCTTCTGGTTCGTTTTCCTGCATTCTTCTCCTTACTTCAATCTTAAAGCAGTACGTGTTTCTAGAGAAACGAGCTATTTTGACTAGATTGTATTCGAGTGTCGTGACAACACCTCAGATAAAGTGGCTTTCTAAACCAAGAAGCCATCCTCTGCGAGTAACTCTTCTGCAAATTCAAGCTTACACCAATCGAATATAAAACGGTGACAATCACAACACAACTTCATGTAACCAGCACCAAATGTCGTCAAGCAAAAATAGTCTTTATTCAAATTTCATGGAAACAGGAATCACTGTACTTTGCAAGACAGGGAAAAAATAAAATAAAAAAATTTAATATAAAACAAGAATATTGTCACAATACCAGAATATGGAACTATACTTCTTTTCCCTATGGATTACTGCAAGTACCTATTTTTATTTTTTCCTTTTGACTGTGCTATTCACAACTTTGTAAGTCCAAAAAATATGAAACAAAAGTAGTATGAAACTTAAAACTTAGCACTTCCACTAAATGGCATACATCAAAGGGCATCGATTCAAGGGCAAAGACTGTTGAAGCCGTCATACCTACCTATCAGTCATCACTGCAATCTCATAAACCCACCAAGGCGCAGTGCTCATTCTCTGCAAGGCTTTTCCTGGAAAACGGCAATTTTGGTGCTCTAGGAAGAATTATATTTAAAGAGAACCTTTCTATGGGATAGAAAATGAGCTGAACAGCCTTGCACCAGAGCGCGTTGCAGGGAGGGAGCACTGCAGTTAACAATGACAGACATACCATCAGGGTTGTTAAAAATATACAGCATCGACATGTTTTCTACTTCAATCACTTGCGCTACAACTACTAAAACATGTACAAAAGACTTTTCTGACCGTTTCGAGTGTGGTTGCAGCAAGGTTAGGATCTGGAGCGAGACCTTGACCGTGATCGGGAGTGTGACCTAGAGGCAGACCTAGATCTAGACTTGGACCGGGACCTAGGCTTTGAAACAGATTTAGACCTGGAACGAGAATCTGATTTGACATTTGGTTTTGACTTGGAAATTGACCTAGACCTGGAGCGAGATGCCCGACGTGCGGCTGCATCCTCACCCTCACCTTTTGCCTCCTTTTTCTCAGAATCTGATTTTAGATGCTCCTTTTCTTTGGAGGCTGACCTGGACCGCTCATGGCTGTCCTTCCTTTTCTTCTTGCTACTTGGTTTGCTGTCTCGCTTGCTGCGCTTCTTGCTTTTCTCACTCTTGCTGCGGCTCCTGCTTCTACTTCTGCTCTCATCCCTGCTTCTCTTCCTACTTTTCCTTTTATCCTTACTGTGGCTCCTGCTCCTACTGTCATCCCTGCTCTTGCTCCTGCTTCTAGCCTTGCTAATGCTCTTCTCCCTGTCTTTGCTTCTACTCTTCTCCTTGCTCCTACTCCTCATGCTCTCCCTCGTCTCTCCCCTGTCCTTACTCCCACTCCTGCTCCTACTCTTTTCCTTGCTGCAGCTCCTGCTCTTTGCTTTCTCATCACTGTTATGGAGAGCGCCCTCGGATTTATCTTTATTTTTGTTTCGGGATTTCTCTGCACTCCTGCTGCGGCTCCTACTTTTATCCTCTTTACTTGGAGTCCTGCTTTTCTCTTTTTGGCCTCTGCTACGGCTCTTGCTTCGACTACGGCTCTTGCTTCTGGAACGGGACACAGACCTGAAAGCGCAAAAGCAACAGACAGCTCCACTTTAGCACGGCTTGGATTTGACTAGCACTTAAATAGCGTGCGTAATAAGGTAGGGGAAAGAAAAAAAACCCAGTGTTCCTACAGCGAATTTAGGATGATGCTTCTCATTTAAGTGGGTAGCCCCCATTTCTTCCAACACAAAGACATACCTGGATCTTGATCTACTCTTGGAGCGACTACTACTGGCACTGCGGCTCCTGCTCTTATGAGAATGTCTGCTTCGAGAGCGAGACCTGGAACAAAATCAATCAGCTTAACATTAGCACATGCCCACGGAGAGCCTGCCATCCCCTGGTCCCCTGTGGGTAAAGCCCCATGGTATTAAAGCTCATTTCAAGCAGCCGGATGGTGGGAGCATTACACAGTAACATTACAAATGTAGAGCACCCTCCTCCCCACTGCTCATCCCCTGCTGCCGCGTCTGGAAGCGAGCGGTGTTGCTAATTTGGAAGAAAATGTGCAACCTTATATTTAAGATAAGGAAGCGAGAATCACTTTCCCAATCAAGTCAGAGTTTGAATACAGTGACACACCAGAACAAAGCTTTGACTTCAGGCTTTGATTTCATAAGCAAGCTGTTCTATGAACAGTAGAAGTTTGCCCGAGTTTTCTTGCGACAAGTTCCACCCCAGAATGGAAAGGGGAAAATACTTGGTGTTGCATGCTGAGGCAGTTCTCTCGATCATACAACGAAAGCAGCAAATCTCTAAGAAACAGGGACCGGGTGGGGGTTTCCAAGCTGAGAAAGAACTGTTAGTCCTGGTGCTTATAGCAGAACACAATGTTCAGAGCCGAAGTGTGAAAAGCACCTTCTGTTTCATTCTGCATGCACAGCTCTACCTGCCAGCCAGCCTGCTCCTGCAAGACAGCAAGGACTACGGACTCAATGTAGTAGGGCAAGAGCAGCAGCACGCCGTCGGGTGTGTAGCTCACACGTACGCACATTCACCAAGGAAGACCCCTCTGAACAGAGGCCTCATTTCCCTTGGTTACTTGCAGGTAACTAATACGTTCTCAAAAACCAGATTTCCTGAGAACCCTGACCGCCACCAAGGTGTTTTGGAATCTGCCGTATATTCACGTGATTGCAGCTAGATTCAGCCTGAGGTACATTAGAGAGAGACGTACCTTGAATGGCTTCGGCTTCTCGAATAAGAGCGGCGCCGTCTCGATCCAGGTCTGTCTTCCACTAATCTAATCTTTCTGCCATTTACTTCTGTCCCGTCCAGCTTTTCAAGGGCTCTTTTCATGTCAGAATAGGATTTGAACTCAATCACACCTTCATTTTTCCTTCCTTTGTGTGCATCTGCATATGTCACTTCCCCTGCCTGACGCATATAATCCTAGAGGAAGAGGACAGAATAACCATTGCCTCAAATCCAGAGTCAGGCTTCCAAGCTGACCCTGTTTCATTTCTGCAACGATGCTCACTTAGCCTCTTCTATTCACACGGATATCAGCAAGGGTTTGACCCAAACAGCATTTGCAGTGCTAACGCCAAGGTTTCTGAGCAAGCCAAACACCACACTGCGATTTCACAGAGTTTGTGCGATTAGAACCAAGGCAATGTTGATAGTTTTGAGCCAAACGATAATTTAAGGTCGCTCATCTCAAGTCTAGTATCAAATACACTCTGGACTACACGTTTCAAATTACAAAAGCGATTAAAGAAATAAAACGCTTGCTCTCTCAATCTTGTTTTCAACTTGGGAAAGGTGATAAACTTCAAGGTTGAATATGAAGAGGCAAGACTACAGGCAAGACTTCCCTTTGTCCTCCACCTAGGTAACGTATCTCGTTCTGCTGGAAGAAACCCCCCACGCAAGTAAAAGCTCAATTCATTGCCCCACTTCATGCTTCCTGGCTTCTCTGTTTCAATTACCAACCACCTCTGTTTATCAGGGAGGGCCGTTCTCCCCGGCTTCGAGCAAGCCGCCAGACAGGGGCATCTTTCAGCCACTGTGGACTTTGGCTGCACCGGAAACGGGGCACAGAATTCCAGATTCAGCCTGTTTTCAACCCAGCTACTCCCATCTTAAGTACACTGAAATGAAAGCTATTCAAAAAAAAGCAATGCGTCCAGTAGAGGATTAATCATGCCATGCTCTACTTACAATTTTTAATACCAGAAGCAAAGACAAGCTATTGATGGTGTGAAGCGTTAACAACAAAAGACATCTGAAGGATCTCAGTACGTACCTGAACTAGCGTTACATATTCAATTACAGACCAGTTTCTACTACGTCAAAGTTTGTCTAGAACAAATTTTACACATCCTTAAAAGAGAACCCTAAAAGAAAGCGTTCCTGTAAGAACAAGTGTTTTTAACTATTGCTGCTAAGTTTGGGAAGGCAAAACTATCTTTTTGCACCCGCTGTTGAAATTCCGCTCCCTGTCCTGCCCCCCCATCCATGATGCAGATAATCACGAGTCAACACCTCACCTCCAGCGTAGTCGGAGGTACTGCGGGCTACACAGCATTAGCCAATGCTTCCACTGCCAAGAATCACCTTCCGCTCCTCTGGACTTAAGGGAATACTAGCTTTTGGCAGAGGTTTTGCATGATTGCTCATTCTGGAAGCATCCCTTCCCTGAAACTCTCTTTAAAACAGCTCCACACGATGTGGAAATTCTTAACAGAGACTCTGCAAGAACGATGCTATCGTTTCCAAACAGCTCTAGCACCAAGTTGATGAGTAAAATCCAAAGTGACAAGGCTGAACTCCTCCATCTCTAGTGAATCCTACCGCTGGCACGATTAAAGCCTGTTTTGACAGGGCTTAAAGATAAGATAAAACACATCTGTATGCGATGTTGGTTGGTGTTAAAGGGAAAAAAAAAAAAGTTATTCTCGCAGTGACACCAGGTCTGCAGGTGCAACTCCCAACGTCGCACTAACGATTTCATATATGCAAATCCTCTTCCATATTGACTTAATGTGCCTTTTACTTCCAAAATCTACTTGTATGCATAGGAGCACACAGACTTACTAACAAGTTGGAGAACACAGGCGTACGTATACCATTTTCCCGTGTTGAAACGGAAGCTAACTTGTTTACCCTTTGTGCTCTTTAATAGAGAGAGGGTAAAGAAAGGGGCCCCATACCTTAAGATCTTGCCAACTGCAGCGGCTTGACAAATTTTCCACAATCAATCTGTATTCTGTACGGGTAGGAGGACCGTACTTATCTCTTCCGCTTCTTCTATAACCATATCCACCTTTAGGAGGTGACAAGCAGACAGCAGTACTTCAACTAGAGAAATGGAGCGCTCGCTCTACATCCCGGCCGAAAATCGTTCTGCCCCGTACGCTCGCAAATATATTAAAAATTCACCCACCCGCTAGTCTAAATTCGATCCCCCTTGTATAAAATGTTACAAAGAACGAAAGCATTAAAAAAAATTATAAATTTACTACAAGCACATAATTAAAACAATGCACGTGATAATTACGCTACAATTAACATGCAATTAAAGTATTTTTTAAAACAGTTTGAAAGAAGCAACCAAATTAAACCAGTTTACTAATGTTACTTACATTGCTTAAAAGTTTTCTGAGTATCTGACCTGAATAAAGCTTTTCAGGCACCTATTTCAGATTAATCTCATCTGTCTCTAACCCCTGGGATCCTCACCACCCAGGTCTAATGGGAAAAGGTTGCGGTCGTCACATGGCTTCCTTTTTGGTCAGCCAAGGGCCACAAAGGTCAAAGAAGCCACTCATGGAAAGGGAACCCAAGGTCAGCAAATGGAACGGGCAGTCATCTTAGCCTCAAAGGACTCTTTTAATTAAAACATTGAGGTCTTTGTTAAATCTATGTTAAACAGCACATCGTAAAGAAAACCATTCAAAGAGTTAAACGAAATGATAATAGTAAAAATGGTACAAGAAATCGTGTTTATTAATTTATCAATTAAAAGAGTTTAATACAACAAACAAGTTAATAAATATTCAGATCAACAGTTACATTTACAGTTACAGAATACTAGTCACAACTTCAAATCATTTTCTTTTAAAATTACTTTTGGTTTTTTTGAAATATGAGCAAAAAAAAAAGTTTTATTTAAAATAAGTCACGGATACAAATGCATGTTAGTGCTTACTGCGTCCAGAACCGTAACTGCTGTCACGACGTGGGCCTCTGGCATGCTCAACGATCACTCTCTCCCCACAAAGATCTTTACCATTTAGCTCATAAACAGCATCATCTGCATCTCGCAGATCATCAAACTCAACGAAGCCATACCTAGAGAGAGG